CAGCCATATCTGGGAATACTGTAACATCAAAAGAAACACAAGTTCAGTTTTGTACAGAGCAAAACAGCATTCATGTGAATCAGTATTAACAACCCTGCCTGATGCAGGGCACCAACCAGGAATTTCTGCCCTATCCAGACCCCACATAGGCCTCCTCCTCCCTCTAAGCAGGCTCACACTGCAGTCTTTCTCCAGGGACCAGTGGATGAGTGGTTTCCCTTCAAAGATCACTCGTTCCTATGGTTTAACAGTCATGAAGAGAGATGTCTCTTTCATAAGCCTCTCAATGTGTCTCATACTGAGGCTCCTACTTCTAGAAAAGCACAAGGTGATACCTCATTTTTAATGACCTTAAGATCCTTGTTGAAGTTCACAGTTTGCAATCTCACTGGAGATACAAAGAAAAGGATAGTAAAGGATGCTGGCTGCAATATGCACAAATCTGCTTCTCCTTTTCTGTGCTCCAGTATTCATGTCTCTCTTTACGTCAGAGGTATTTCCCCAGACAGCCCTCCCCAGCATCTCCCAATCAAGAGGACTCTGGGAGGCTTATGTACAGCTGTGGGCTATAGAAATTCACTGCCTTTACCTGGAAAGACTACAATGATGTGTTAAACAGTGGGATGGTCTGTCTGCAGCCTGTTCATATTGTAAAGACTGTAAAGTAACTATCTGTATGTCTACAGCTTGGAACTGTCACTCTAGGCTTTACTTAAATATTAGTAACAGTCTTCAAAAAACCAGCAAGAGACTGTTCAGTGTCCTGCACAGTTCTGGCTTTTCTTTGACATCTCACTAAAGATATTTTACCAAAACAACACTCGGGAGCAGCAGGCTGGGCATTTGGTGCAGCACGGCTTGGAGGGGAACATCCTGACTCATTGTTCCTGGAAATACCTGGTAATTGACATCTGCTTTCTTCCATCTCCAACAAGTTTAACTTGCTGCACTCAGTGAAATCTTCTCCCCAGATGTGGCTGTTACCTTGACCCTTTCCTCCCCATTTTCATATGCCACTTTTTTGCCTTACCCGTTTCTCCAGGTTTGTATAAGCCCTTATCTGTCTCTGCTAGAATTACATTCTTCTGGGGCTTGACCAGAACCTTCCTGCAACCATCAAAGAGCACATTTTCCTCACTATGGATCAGGACATGGAGAAAAACCACCTTCTCTGGCTGTCAAGTTAAAAAAACCAAACTGCCTGAGACTAGAAGCAGCTTGAAAAAGAAATGAAGGCACCTGTCCTACAAAAATTCCCAACTTCCCTCTCCTTCCATCCCCTCCTTTGATTTAGCTCTCTCTTTTCCCTAGTCTTAGTCTTCTCTGTGCTCCCCAGCTTCCTCATTCTCTTTTTTCTGCCTTTCTTCTTGCCATGTCTGCCTCTTCCCAAATTTCTTTCTCCCCTTTACTATCTTTCCCACCCCCCTTCTCCAACATTAATATGGCTCATATGCAGGAGAGGCTGAAGCCCTCTAGTTGGTAAGAGGAGAGGCAGCCAAGAGACGTGTCTTACGTGTGATGTAAGCTATCTCTTTTCCTGGGAATGAATTCTGGCATCTAGGTTGATTGATACAAGAAATGGAAAACAAATTCATCAGAGACATTGCATCTTATCCCAGATGTGACACATCACCTCAATGTTAAAAAATCTCTGAACTTCAAAGTCCAAATTCCACTGTATGACTCTGTCTCTAATCCACTCGTCATTATAGGGAGAAGAAGCAGTTACTGCCTGTCTCTTGTTCATAAACCTAAGAGTGAACCAACTGACATGTCATTCTCCCACTTCACATAAATATGAGATTTTTATGAAACCAAGAAAAACCATAGGGAATCTGGAGCTGACCAAGACAGTAACAAGAGATGGGACATTGATCAGGCAAAAATGAGACAGTATCAGTAAGACCAAGCTCACCAGAAGAAAGGTTATTTTTGCTAATGACAGACTTCCTTGGCTTTCTAGCGCCAGGACTTGCTTTTTCCTAAGGGCTGGCTCCAAACATTTAGTTAATCATTGTCTTGTTGATGCAAGAACCAGAAGTGACTACAGTGACTCCTCGAGTTCTGCTGAATCTGCAGGAAATCAGGGCATAGGCACAGTGACTTTGTGGAGTGCTGAGGAAGAGAGGGGCAGCTCATAGAGTGCCAGCACCAGCTGCATCTCCGTGGCTCTCCAGAAATACAACTGAAGGTCCTGCAGTTGTGCCACAGCCTCAGTGCTTCTAGTTAAACTGACTAGAGTTAAACTAACTAAAATTGGAACTCAAGCCCCCCAAGAAATAGTCAGATTGCCCAGGTGAAATTCAGCTAATTCAGTGGGTTCAGTGCCATTAGCACCCATCACAGCTAAATTAAAGCAATGTCTCAATGTCTGCGCAGGCTGTGACTACATCTTACCATATAGATGCAGCTTTAGAGCAGAATGGTCCTCTTGGAGCTGGAGGCGCAGGCTTCTGAGGAAGTAAGGATGAAAAGAATGTGTTCCCTATGCATTGACTTGCACTGTGATACGTGAGCATTTCTAGGGGCTAAACACTGACTAAACCGAAAGTCAGTATTTTACAACAGGCTTAAAGTAGGATGAAATGGGCTGATACAGATCAAAAGAACAGGGTTTTATTTACTCATGAAAGATCTCCTACTTTGCTAGGCTCCAGGACACTGCTGTATTTTGCATGGCACTGGTAGGGGAATGCATTTAACCTGCTTGCAACCCGTGGCAAAGCAAAAGACAGTGTACCCAGAGTAGTGCTGGGCTCGTGTCTGAAGTGAAGGTGGGAGCACCCACTGCCAGATCAGCTGGCACAGCTACACTCACCTGGAAGGTGACACACTGGAAAATGCCCGGCTTCTCCACATCCCGCTCCACCAGCGAGTGGTTCTGGTGGACAGCCTCAGGCAGGGAGCTGAAGTGAATGCAGAGCTGCTCCTCTTGGGCATAGTGAATGATGGCAGGGAACATCACCATCTAGTAACTAGAAAAGAGCAGAAGATGTTAAAAACAATTCAGAGGCTGAGGCGGACAGGCCAGAATCCACCTCTGTTGCTTTTATGAAGAGGTAGACCAAGGGTCAGAAATATTTGGAGGCCTGCAGCCAAGGAACTACAGTGCAGCTCCCTTTCCAGAAAGAAGCAACGTGCCAAAAGTGGAACTCGAATGCTCGTGATATCTGCCTGTTATCACCCTGCCACCAGCCAGGACACAGCTGCCCAGCGTACAGTACTGCAACTGTAAGTACACAGAGCAAGGCCGTGTGAAGAAAGAAGCCAAAGACTCGGTGTCTGAGGCATAAAGCTTCAGTCCTCCCACCAAATTTCACCCCCACCAGCACAGGATGAACAGAGGCAAAACTTGTGCCTCCTGTAGCTTTGCAGTATGTGCAGTGCAGTGCCTGCCAAGCAAACAGCAGGGACTTCACCTGCAGTGCTGCTCGATGCCCCGCGCTTCAATGGGACTCAGCAGGAGTTGCTTCTGCTCACCCTCCCTGACAATAAGGGAGGCTGAACACTGTTCAGCTCTGGGATGCTAAACAGTGCAGCACCTCAGCACCACCCTTCAATGACAGTCCCTTCCACCAAGCCCCCCCAGAATCAAAAGGAGAGAATCTCACGGTTCCAGGTTTGCTGCAGCTGCGACTGGGAGCAGGGTCAGGGCTAAGAGGAGCACTGGTACTCCCATTGCTTGGGCTGCGACAAACAGCTCTCAAGATCCACACAGGAGAAGCGCCTGTACTAATGGTTTGGAGCAATTCTAAATACCCCCTCACATGCTCCTAAGTCTAAAGAGTGGGGGAGTTGAATATGGAGATAGTATCTCTTCCAGGCTAATGACATTAGGTAATATTTACTTACTTCCACCACCAGCAGAGTAAAGGCCAAACAGCACAGTTCTCCACCCACATCTACATTCAGGTGGTATTCAAGGCAATGGGGTGCCACAGCATGGAGAGTTGTGGGGTAGGTGACCTCTAACCCAGGCTGAAGGGGACTTAGGAGAAAAACTCATCTCAGCCATGGCTAGTCTGGATGTAGCATCCATTGAGAGCCAAAACTGCACCCCAGCTGCTGTCCTCAGTTTGTAAAAAGCATCCTCAGTACTCTCTGTGCATCATTAAAGATCTTCCTCACATCCAGTATTTACTCAGAACTTGGAGTAAAGACCTTCCAATTCACCTCCATTCCCTACATCACTTCCTCTGTCCAGGCATCCATCCCAGCTATGCCTGATCCTCCTTGGGTTCCGCACCTTTTCCAGGACTGCTCCTGTCACCCACTAGCAACTCCTCTCATCGCTCCAATATAAGGCATTTCCAAATAAAGCAAGATGTTTTAAGTCCCCACATATTTGAGCAAATCTCCACTTTACATCCCCTCAAGCCAGACGCCCAGTCTTCTGCCAGCGTCCTCCAGCCATATGGTAGTTCTACGCTGACACCACCAGCCACCCAGACTCTTCTCAGGTACTGCAGCCTTGTTTCTCATTTTCCTGGGTGGCAGCAGCAAAGTGAAGAGGGCTTGGACATATTTGCCTTCTGGTTACAACCTCATTTGAAGGTGGATGTCTTCATCCTGCCCTGGCCTTAGCTGAGTTTTGGTAGAGCATAACTGATATACGGTACAATATAGGGTGAATTTACCATCCACTCAGTCTTTGCTCCCAGCTGAAGCAATCCCCTGGATTTACTTTGGCACGGTCCCTCTATGTGTGCTTAACACTCCCCCTCCTAGTGCACGGTCCGATGTAACTAGCCTTTAACCTGGCACTGACACTGCAGATAGTCTGCAGGTTTAAAGCACTGTATGTCACTGATCTGGGAGCATATTTCATCCTCCGAAATGAACAGGCTTTTGAGTTCAAGCCTAAACTAGAAGGACAAAAACCAATCTGAGTCCTGTCTGATTTCAGAAACGCTCCCCATGGCTCTGCATTTCTGAATGGTCATTAAGTCGTCTGTGTCTGAAGTTAAATGGGAACAGACAGGCAACAAACAGATAACAACATGCTAAAGTTCTTCCCTTCCTCCAGGAAGGAACGGGGGCACTGGCAGAACAGGGTATGAAGCCCTGGGCTGGGCTGGGTGGAGGCTGCAGGGCAGGAGTGAAATTTAAGTAAGAAGGAAATAACACGTAAAAAAAGGAGTTCTGCAGAAGAAAGCCCTGAAGCAAAATCCACTGAAAGGATTAATTTGTCCCAGGGTGTTTTCACTGAAAGCCCAGTAAAGACACCCTTACAAAAATGTGCCCATGTGCCAAACACGGTAACTGAGCACTCTTGCTGCCCTCAGCTGTGCTGCATAAGGCAGAGAAGATGTCTCACAGGCAGATCCCAACGAGCCTTACAAACCCTTGAGGCCTTTGGTGTGCAGGCAACAAACGTTCTCTCCACCCCTTCCACCCGCCCACATCCCAGCCCCGGCCATGCGCAGCATGATTTCCACTTCCTTGGTTTCGAAGCCAAGAGAGAGACAAACACCCTGTCAGGGCAAGAACTGCGTAGTCCTTCAGCTCTGGATGAAGGAAGACAGCGGAAGCAGGGGTGAAAGAGGGACAGAGGAGAGGCTAAGCTTTCCGTGGAGGGATTTTACCTGCAATCAGCTATGTGGAGCATCACTTTCCTGTGGGGCAGCGTCCTTCTCCTGCCTAGCGCGGCTGGAATGCCTGCAACGCTGTAAGAACATCAGCTGCTTTGCACATGCACTCTGGTCTGTGGGGAATCCTGGGTGGGGTGGCGGTGTGACAGAAACAGGACAAAAGTCCTAAAACCAGGAGTGTTTTTCCACAGAGGTGTAATTTCTCGTACTGCCGGGGTTTCACGTGGTTCTCACGCATCCTTCCCCACACGCTCCCTCTACTCGTTGGCTCTCCCTTTAGTGCTGTTGATGTAGACCATGTATTTCTGCAAGGGCTCAGGCAGAGCAACTCTGCCAGCTTTCTGCATGCGAGCTGCCAACATCTCACATCTCCTGCTGTGCTCCAGATTGTACTTGGTTTTGGGTTATGCTTTTTTCCCCAGAGCCACAGGTCACCATTTAAATCTTTAGCAGACGATGCTGGGTGCCTTTATAATCAGGGCAAACATGAGCCCAAGGTATCTGGTAGGAATGCTCTTCAAAAAGCAGTGTGTTTTGTTCTGGCTTGGTTGGCTCCCTCTATGCCTTTCCTCAGACCTCTGGCAAGGACAATTCCCAGTACTGCTTCTCCTCATATACTTTGTCAGGAATGCAACTCCTGTTCCAGCAGGCACTGCTGTGATACACTGGCTTGTGAACTTGCTCTTGCTTTTTGAAGGCCTTTGTTTTTGCAGCCATGGCATAAATGCGAACAGAAGGATGGCTGTGCTCGAACAGAGATGTTATGGTGGGAAATATGTCACTGGGCTGTAGCTGGGCTCCCCCCTGCCATGTCTAGTTTTCAGACTCTTTTCCAGCAGGCGTACAGCCTCTTCCTCTAGGACATGTTCTGTAGGCTGACACAGCTCCCACTCAAATGATGCTTTATTGCTACCTGAACCCCACTGTTACCTTCAGCATGAATCTTTGCTTTATGGAAATACTGCTTGCTTCAATAGGCTGTCTAATGTCCCTCCTGTATACCAGTGTTTTTTGTAGCTTCATGAGAAAGTCTGGCTTTCAGGGTCCTTGAATGACAGCCTCAGAGATGCTGTCTCATGCTTTTATAGCTCAGAAGTCAAGGGTAAGGTATGAATTGTCAAAGGGGTCTAAGAAAATGTTGCAGAGTAAAGGGTCGTTAGGAGCAAGGGAGGTATGGGAGGTTCAAGCTCTGAGTCCTTAGTGCTCATCCCATCCTTTGGCCCAGTGGCATGGAGGAAGTGCTGTGAATCAGCTTAAGTAGGAACATCAAAATGTCATCTGTTACCAGAACCCCTAATACTAGCAGCAGACAAGCTGCTCAGGGCAGCTTGACAGCACTCAAGTGTGAAAGCCCTCAATGCTCCTGGCCAGCAGGACCCTGACTCCCTCTTGCCAGGGTGCTGAGCTGTAGCTAAGAGCTGCCATCAGGTCACGTCCCTGCCTCCTGCTGTGCTGACCTTTCCAGGCCCTACCCTCCTGCTGCTGCAAAACATGCTGCTGGCTGAACCTGTCCAGAGGCAGCAAGCAGGAGAGGTCAGTGATAAGAGTCTTCATACCTTCTTGAATGCTGCCCTTTCTTTGGTCCTGGTTGCTGCAGTGCAGTGTAAGATGAAAAAAAAACCCCAAACAACATGAACAGCTTCTTGTTATCCATGGACACAGCTATGAGAGTAGCTGCAGGTGTGAGATTTGTCAGAAGAGAGCAAGGAGGAGAGGAGTATGAAGAAATGGTGCTCAGGAGACTCTGTCTGGGACACAAAGCAGGGACACTGGCTCCCATGTGCATGGCACTGGTTCTGACCCTGAAGAGTAGCTGATAGGAGGGAAAGCAAACTGATGGTGGTACATAGTGTCAGCTGGAGTCTCAGGAAACCTACAGTGTGGACAAGCTCTGCTGATGATCCCTTGGGTGATGTGGTAAGGTCTCTTCCCTGATTTTGACTTTCAGTTTTGGAAGCAGTGACTTTATCTTTTTACATGTGCATGCAGCATATAACGCAGACTCAGTGTTAATGGCTGAAGTACCTATAGGGGAGGAGAATGGTGTGATCTTGTTCCACTGGCATCATGATAGTGGAACAAAGAGACCAAAAGTCTTGTTATGGAGTACCCAGATCCTATGGTCAAAACCTGTCCTCCTAGAAAATCAGTTTCACTTAACATTTTTTTGTCTTTTATTAATAGAAATTATGCTGTGGCTGTACCGTCTCAGCTCTACTACCCCTTCTCAGAGACAGTGTGCCTCCAGCTCAGCAGAAAGCAAGCAGTCCCCATCCATGTGACAGTAACCCTCCAAAGCAAAGCTGGGAATGAGACTCTGATCACTCAGTCCATCTCTCAGGTCAACTTCTTTCACTGCACAAGCTTTCAGGTGAGGAAGATATATTCAAGGGTTGTCATTAGGGTGAATAGTGCACGAGTTCTGCTCTTGCTGGGCTGGAAGGTAAAGAATTATGTCTTCCCATGGGGACATCTTAATCAGGCACTGAATCTTGTGCTCCAGCCTGTACAGGTCTGCCAGTGTCCTTCCTGCTGTGCAGCCCCTCTGATACATCACTCTTCTAGAAAACATTCTGAAAAGTACTGGGAGGTCTTTCAGGGCAAGAAGAGCTGGAGCAATATAAAAGCAGTATCATAATGATTATTCTAAACCCCTGGGGATTCATGAATGAGATCCACCCTGAATGATGGTTACAACTATACCTGCAGGTCCCTCCTCCTGTTGGAAATCCCGATGAAGTGGCTTTTATTGTTATCACAGTCCTGGAAGACAACTCAGAGTTTCAGAAGAAACAGAAAGTCCTAATCAAGCAAACATACAAGAGGACTTTTATCCAGACAGACAAACCTGTGTACAAACCTGGACAGATTGGTATGGGCAGAATGCCACGTCTTGTGAGAGAAAGGGCAGTCCCTAGGCCATAAAATAGGGGATAGCCTCTAGTGCTTGGAGCAGGGCCTGCTCTGCAAGGGAGATGGGTCACAGGCTTCATCTTCTTTCCAGGCTTTGAGGGATTTGGGGATACCTCTCTCCTACGTCAGCATGGGGAATGTTTTCTCCAGTACTAGCCCTACTCACACAGCATGACGGTGTGACCCAGGCTTGTGTGTCTTGGTTGACATGTGAGAAAAGGTTCAAGACAACAATGTGTTATATTCGTGATTGTTCCAGTCAAAGTCACAATAGCCTGTCAAGTGCCCTAAATCCCTCTCTCTCCCACAGACTTCCTCAGACAAGGGTCATGATCCTGCAGGCCCCCTCACTGCCCTAGCACAGCTCAAATCACTGCAGGGTACAACTGTTTGCCCGATGCTGCTTCACCCTTTCCACTGGCATGACCTTCACTGCAGGCAAGACTGAGTGCCCACTGCAGATCCAATGTCCACTAAAATGCTGTTTCTCACCAGCATAGCCAGCCCACACTGCCTCTCCTGCCACTGGTTTTTTCCCTAGCAGGCTGCCAGCTCAGAGCAAGGCTTTGAGCATAGGCCCAGGAGTGGATGTCTCTAGCTGCTGCCCACACCCCCTCAGTGAAGCACATGGCATGTCTTTCTTAGCCATACATTCTTATTAACAAACCCGATTTCATTTCAGCCAGTCCTGTTTTTCTTTTGCTCTATAGTCAAGTTGCGAATTGTAACCTTGGATCAGAACTTCATTGCCAGCAATGGAACGGTAAGTCAAGAAGGGAGAAACGTAAATAAGTCTGAAAATGCTATAGCCTGCCTCCATGAGTTGTGGGTCAGTGCTTGGCCCAGGTAGGTGATCCACCTGTGGACAGCTAGTCTCAGTGTTGCTTTTGCTACGTACACATAACATTGGGCACCACCTGCAATGCAGGATTTGGTCATGATGCTGGGTAATGGACATTTCCTGGGAACTGGTTAGGGCAGACTCACGGATGGTTCGGGGATAGAAGATGCCAGGGATGTGGATGGTAACTTACTTACCTGAAAGCATCCCACCTGAAAGCAGGCAGTAACTGTTATTTTCTCCCCACAGCACCGCCTGGTGGAACTGAAGGTAAAGCACCTACTTTAGTGAAAGTGGTGAACTCTTGTCATCTCGGGGAAGACACAGGTTTGGAGATGATGGTGGGGAAATATGGATGCAGAAAGCCAGTTACTTCAGAATGCATGGGAACAGTCCTCAGTTTCTTGCCCTTCCTTCCTTCATTAGCCGCACAGGTCTGGCAGTGCAGTGTCACTGTACTGATCACAGGGGTCCCTGCAGTAAATGATGGATGCCACTGAAAACCAGTCTTCTAGAGTGGTCACAGAACATTTAGTCCCTTCAGCCCATGAATTGAAGATTTTTTAAAATCCTGAAGTTTATTTAAGGAGACTTTCATATTTAATATGCAGAATATAAAAGTTTGGGCAGTTAGTGTTGTGGCTACACAGCTAGAGGAACTTCCTAAGCAGCTTCCAGGATAATATGATAGGCTGACTGCCAGTGAGACAAGGAAAAAAGCCCTATCCTCTGAGCCTGGACTTACCTGAGCACTGTGGCTGTGGCATAGACCTGGGCCTTCGGGACAAGAGGATATGTGCTCAGGACATGCTGTGACACTTCTTTTTGCACTAGGATATAACTACTCTCTACTACTGCCTATGCAGGACCCCAAAGGGAACCGAATTGCACAGTGGCTGAATGTTACGCCTGTGGGAGGCATCGTGGATCTGTCCTTCCCTCTAGCAGCAGAAGCACAGGTTGGAGAGTACACCATCAAAATGCCTGACCGCACACATACCTTCAGCGTAGAAGAGTATGGTAAGAATCTCAGAGAGCAGCAGAAAAAGATGTGTTTCCAGCCCTCTTCTCTCACACAGAGTTGAATGGGCCGTGCAGCTGCGCTATAGTTGTGCTAGCACCTGAGAAGTCCAACTGCCTGCCAGTAGGTATAATCATTGGCTTTCACCCATACCCACTGGCTTTCTCCTCCCCCATGTCCTGAGGCACCATCCCATAGCTGTGCTCTGGGAAGGGAACTAAGGCTGTCTATTCCCACCACGCTCTCCTGTCTGGGCTACTGGTGCATTGCTTCCAGGCCCTGGTGGTCAGGGAATGAAAGAAGAGAGTTCCTTCCTGTGAATAACAGAACAGGATTAGAAAAAAAAAGCTTTCGCTATTCTCAATGAATTATATTTCTCTTGCTTTCACACAGTGCTGCCCAAGTTCAGTGTCTCCATCCAGATGCCTCAGGTGGTCACAATCTTGGAGGATAACTTCCGTCTCCACATCTGTGGCATGTGAGCTGACTTATTGTGGCAGAAGGTGCATTCTTACTGGTTTGGAAACTGCACAGCTATCAATAACTGAGCTCAAAGTGATCTCTACCAACCCTAACCCCACACCAAAGTCTGGTACCCTGACATCCTTTGCTAAGGAATTCTCCTGGACTCTCACCTTTCTCTATGTCTATCTCCCTACTTCTTTCTCTGTGAGTTTGAAAGTGTGGCAGTGTATCCCTTCAGTGGGGCATGTTCCCTACAATACATTACCTCTGCTGCACTGATTAGTGAGAGTGAGGAAGGAATAATGACTCAGCTTGTGGCCAGCACTGTGTCCCCTAGCACAGCCTGGTGGGACTAGTGTTGATCTGGACAAAACTCACCCACCACTGCCTTCTGTCTCAATTTAAGTCCTTAATTCTTTACTATGAGGGTGGTGGGCCCTGGAACAGGCCACTCAAGGAAGTTGTGAATGCACAACCCCTGGCAGTGTTCAAGGACAGGTTGGACACAGGGGCTTGGAGCAACCTGCTCTAGTGGAAGGTGTCCCTGCCCATGGCAGGGGTTGGAACTGGATGAGCTTTAAGGTCCCTTCCAATGCAAACCATTCTACGATTTTATGATTCCAAGTCATTTTAACTTCTTAGCACCTGCTGAGCTCATGAATCATGAAAATACTGGAGGCTGCTGGGTTGCATAGCTGCAAACCACAGGCTAAAGCTGACATTATTCACCCGTGAGCTAGTGTTTCTGGATGTGAGTGTAAGTCCTCTGCTATGTTTTCCAGATACACATATGGGAAACCAGTCCGGGGCAGTGTGAAGGCTGTGGTGTGCCGTAAACACATCCGCTATAATCGGAAGTCTTCCAAAGCCAAGCGCAGTATTTGCAAGGATTACATTGGTGAGGTGAGCTCATGGGACATCCACTCCTCTTGCAAAAGGGGGTAAAGAGAGGAAAGAATAGTAAGGGAAGGAGTGGGGCAGACATCAGGTATTGAAGCAGCACACTCTTTGCTTGGGGATGAATGACTGATACGTCCAGTGTAGCAATCTTAGCCTCTCTAAGTGGTTCCTCTGACTGCACTCAAAGGAAGAAGCATCTGCAGGCAAGCTAACTATTGCAGATTTGCCTACAAAACAGGTATTGCAACAGGGCAGTAAAAAATAAAAACACTGTCCACATTGATTCACTTCCACTGGATGCTTTTTAGCACCCCCTTTTAATCTGGTATAAACACCTATATGCTGTTTCCAAGGAACAGCAGCTTTGGAGGCACAGAAATCACTTCTTGCATCTAAGCAAGCAATTGCAGTTGAGCACAGACTTTATTCATTCATCTCTAGGGTTGAATTAATGTATCTAGCTTTGTTTACATATTTTTAAGTAACCCAGGCCACATCTTAGAGGTAGATCTTGCCCTAGCAGAAGAAATTGTGTCAGGGAGAAATCACAACTCATGTTTGCTACTGGCACATGAGTGAGCATGTGAAAGATGAGGTGTGTGAAACAGCATCTCCTATCAGTGACTATTCCACAGAAAATAAGTATGTTTAAATACCAGTATGGGTGTTGTTCCTTTAACAAAAATGTCTTAGTCATGTACTTTCAGATTTCTGGGCCTTGGGTTTGATCTGCACTGCAGAAGGGATTAGTGCATTCATGGTTGTTTAACAGACATGATTTCACATCCACAGACAAACGAGGATGGCTGCTTTGCCTCTGACGTGAATATTAAGATCTACCACCAGAAGCGTGATGACAGTTATGATTTCAACCTGGAAGTTGTGGCTTTTCTGAAAGAAAGTGGAACAGGTAGCAAAACCAGATTCTACACATTATGGAAAATATTTTAGTTTACACTCATACAACGTGCTTGTCTTTGGGTTTTCATCAGTAAGACTCCTTATGGATCCTTGTTCTTCCCATCAAACCACTGGAGCTTTCTGCACTGGCTCCTATGGGGGCAGGAGATAAGTGTTCAGAGGGTTGTGTCTTCCTTGAAGCACCATGGCAGTATGGATGTTCTCCTCTACCGTACACCCAAGTCTGACTCACACAGGACATGTGAGTTCTCCCAGCTGCAGGATGGGCCTTAGCAGTATGCTTGCTCCTCCGCAAGCTGCTGTGGCCGGTGCAGCTCTGACAGTCACCCTGGTTTGGCAGAGATGGACAAGAGCTGCTTTTTCTCATCACAGTAGAAACTGTGATGCACAGAGGTGGGAAGGGTCAGGTTCTTTTGTTCTTAACCCATACTTTAGGGAGGCCCATTGGAATGAGGAGATACTTACAGCAACCAGTGATAACCAAGAGGCCCTGACTTTGTCCTGTTAATAGCTCCTCATCAGATTTATCTCCACATCCCAGATAGGGAGATGAAGCTATTTGTCCTGTTAAATATCCCATCCTGTAAGGTTTCTTCTCTTACAGACTTTTACAAACCCTTCCTTACAAGAAAATGTTTTACAGCCCATTGCTGAAAGCAGTGACACACAATTCCTTAGCAAGCAACTGCAGTGATTTCATATGGTTTCATAACGACAGCAACTATGAACTAACGTGATGAAGGCGAGGAAAAACGTTGCCTTCTAGTGACGCTGCTGTGAGAGTGGGAGTAGAATGGGAGCTGACAATTATTAGTGGGACCATCTTAAACAAAGTCAGAAAGAGCATTTGAGAACTGTCTGGCAGAGACGTCCTGGTAGACTGCTGTCTTTCTGGCAGGTCAGAGTGTTGGAGGCACTATTGCTGAGTGTGTGTGTGTTAAATGACTCCCAAAGTTACATGGAGAAACTACAGTCCCTTACCTCAGTCCATCCAATCTTGCTGCCTTTGCTCAGATGCATGATACTCGCCTGCCTGCACCTCTTGCCTTTCCTAGGGGTGGAGTTCAACACCACTGAAAACTGCAAGATCACTTTTGATATCACAACTCTACAATTCTTGGGGACAAGCTACTACTACCAGCAAGGAGCTCCCTACTATGGAAATGTAAGTAAGTGAACAGGGCAGAAACATGGAAAGCTTAGTAGCTGGGCCTAGGGGGATGGCAGGCACAGAAGTACTGAGGGGACCCCTTGCTCTGAGCTGCCTAAAGTTGCTAGCACAGTCCTCTGTCCCAGTCTCTCCTTTGACACCTTTACTAAGAGGTAATCCAAAGGTGTGACCACAGAGTAGGCACATGGTTTTCCCGTATGAGGTGGCTGCTGCATAGATGGGGAGGGATTGGAGGAGTTAGAGTTCACACTGAATGTCCCTTTGGAGAGAGTTGAACTGGGACTTCTACTGGGAGGTAGATTTTCAGTCCTGAGACCTCCAATTCTCTGACAGTTCTCCGCATTGTTACAGCTAGAACTCAAAAGTGCCAATGGCACACACCTGAAGAACAAGGAAGTGATTCTTACAGTGTCCTATGGTAGAAGGAAGCAGACCAAGACCTACTTCACGGATGACACTGGGATGGCCTCTTTCATCTTAGAGACATCAGCCTGGGACAACAGCAGTAAAGTTCTACTACAGGTTAAGCCAGATAATTGCATTGGATTTGGCTAGCACTAAGCAATGTATCCCTCAGATCTATGTCATTGTCTCAGTATAGCCAGGGAGACAGAGGCATGGAGCAGTGAAATAATGGATCTATGGCAAGAAGAATAGTCCATAGCAAAGCCAGAGTTCTGGCCCCTGGTGCCACGCTGAGCAGTCAGAAGACATCATGAGAGGTGGGGCAGGAGATAGAGGCCCCATGAAGCTGTAACTGAGGTCTGCCTACACTGGACCTCTATCTGAGGTGGAAAGGGCTATGTGGGGCTGGGCAGAGACAAAGAGCAAAGGAGGAACTCCCACATGGTATGGAACAGGAAGATAGGAAAGCAGCTAAGGAAGAAGCATCTGAAAATACATGTGGAAAAGAAAATATCAGTGACCACTTTGCATTGTGTTTTCTCATAGCATAAGACTTAGGATAAACCTGGGATGTAAAAGGCAGAAAACTTAGGAGAGAAAGACGGAAGGCTATAAAGGAAACAGTTGATGCAAGCCAATCTGGAGGAGAGCAGGTGACCAGGATGTAAGGATATAAATAGGGATGCCACTGACAGGGAATTGACAGAGGAAAGTTTGCATCTGCTTTCCCATGAACAAGGAAGGCTCTCCTGTCTGGTAGGGGTAGGTTTCTAAACTTCAAAGATCAAGGTACTTCAAGGGAAGCCCTGTCGCTATTAGAATGCATAGAGTATCTTAGGTGGTGGATCTTGACCTTGCTGGAGGCCCAGAGCGGCTACACTGGTAGCAGCAGCATTTCAGTTCAAGCTGTAGCCCAAGCTCTAGTAGTTTATAACTCATATCCTCCTGTTTAGGTGCTAGTTATCCCAGAGCATGATGGAATGGGCAGTGTAAAGCTCCTCAGGAAGGTGCTGACTGAGCTTGGCTTAGGTGGATATAGACACCTTACCCTGGGAGAGTTCAGACCCCACTTTCCAGCCAGTCTTGGTTTTGGCATGGGGAAAGCTGCAAGAAATCTTCAGACACCAAGCCATCTTTTCTGTGCCACAGGCAAAGACCCAGATGGAGGACTTAAGCAGCCAGAATGTGAGGGTGTCTTATGGCACGGCATCCCTCACCCTGAGGGCCTTCTACTCTTCCAGCCAAAGCTCTGTGAGGATCCAGCCAGTGCAGGCAATGCTGCCCTGTGGGGATGTGCAGCAGGTCCCTGTGCACTATCGCATTCTATCCTCAGAGCTGGGGAATGGGGCTGACAGAGCAGACTTCTACCACCTGGTGAGTGCAGGGCAGCAGCAGCAGCCGAGAAGGGTCTCTGTCAGCACAGGACCCTTTGCTGCCCAGGGACACGGAGAAGAGGCACTATTAACCCTTTGCTCATTACCCTTTAGGTTTTAGCCAGAGGATCCCTCGTGCATTATGGCCAAACAACAGTACTTCTTGATCCACCATTAGGTAAGAGCATCTAAATACCAGGAACAGATTAAGGAAACAGGATAGAAATAGGTTAAACACAACCAGAAAGCCCTTCCAGCCTAAGTGGGGAAGGAGAGAAAAGAGACCAACAGGAAACAACAAATCTGGCAAAAAATCAAGAGGAAATGGCAAATACGCTTTTCCTCCTCTGTATTTCCGCCCCCCCCCCCCCCCCCAACGACATTTTCAGAGTTTATCTGCCAAACAGGAATTATCAGACTCCTCCAAGAAAACATACAGAATCTTTTTGCTGGGCTCAGGTGGAAAGTCATTTCTCTTCCAAGTGCACAACGTTGCCAAGATCCCTCATGTCTTAAGTTCACTGCTACAGAATGGCACTCATTTACATCCTGGTCTAGCTGTGGCCCCCACAGAAGCAAGACAGAATAACTTTTATCCAAGAAACTGTGTAGAAGTATTCTAGAGGATAAGCATGTTGCTGCTGCAATGAGACAGACTTCCTTGCCTCTTCCTATACTTTTTCTGTTTCCTTCAGATCAGTATAGTGGGGCTTTCAATGTCACTCTGCCCATTGACCTCATTTCACCCATGGCTACCATCTTTGTTTACACTGCCTTCCCTGAGGGACAAGTGGCAGCTGACACCTTCAGTCTGAAGGTCTCCAAGTGCTTCAGGAACCATGTAAGTAGTGCACAAAACATAAGGCTGAAGGGTAGTTAATGAGCAGCAGAAGACGTCCAGCAGAATCCACTAGCTACGGTCTCCTCTTTCCTCCCTCTGTCAATGAATTCAGTCCCTCTTCTGCTGTTTCAGGTGAAGCTTGGCTTCTCAGACACTGTGGCTCTCCCAGGATCGGCTGTCCGTCTCCATTTGCAGGCTGCACCAGGCTCCCTTTGTAGCATCCGTGCTGTAGACCAGAGCATCCTTCTCCTGAGGCCAGAGGCTGAGCTATCCAGGGATAGTGTGAGTCACTTTACTGCTGAGCCTTGCTAATATTGGAGAGATGCCAACGTTTGCAGGGACTGGTTGCAGGCACTGGTTAATAAGGCACAGTGGATAAACCAACAAGTACCTGAATGGGGACAGGACATGGCTTAATTAAAACAAAGAAGGCCAACATCAAACAACAGTAAAAATTTCCAGCCTCTACAGAGGGATCTAGTAGAATAACCCCCTGTCGTGCCCAAGTACAGGCCAAAGTCACGTTCTTGTTAAACTTGGAGTGCTTTGCCTCAGTAGCAACCAGATGGCAAGAGTCTTCCATTTCCTGAACCAACTCATTTCAGGATCCTTGAATTGCATGTTGACACTGTGTGGATCCAGGATGTGCCTTCAGTCAGACAAGAAACTGTCTAATGATAGCTCGCAGAGAAGCTATCCTTACTGTGTGCATGGAGATCACAGGTACAATCTGTGAGCTAGAAGCAGCCACAGCTATACAGCCGTACCCCAGAGGTGCTCATGGTCACCTCTGGTGCTATGCATCTAAAACTTGTGGATGCTCTCCATGAAGCTCAGAAACCTTTGGGGCTGGGCTTTTGTGGCAGGCTGGATCCAAGCTCTGCCTCTGTGGTCACAAAAAATCTCTAGGTAGAGATTAAAACCTTCCCACCTCTCACACGGACCTGTACTGTTTTCCTCCTCTTTTACAGGTGTACTATATGTTCAGCTATTCTCAGGAGCACCCCGCCACCCTCACAGACTCTTACAGTGACTACTGTACTATCCACAAGAGTCCAGGAACAATCGGTTCTCCTCAGACCACCCTTCCACCAGGAACAATGTCACCGTTCATGTACAACAGATACTCTTATGCAGTGTCCCAGCCAGATGTTTATGAACTTCTGAAGGTAAGTCTAATTTCCATAACACCTGATATATCACAGCTGAGGCCTTTTGGATCCCAGGTCAGTGCTGGCTAGCTTCACAGATGGTCTTTCCTGTAAAGGCTGGCAAGTTCAGGTTCTGAACTTGCCAAGTTTCTGAACTAAGAGATTTCCATGCTCCCAGCTTGATAAATTCCTATTGTTCAGGCAGATCTTTAGAACCCCTTTATCCCAAGCTCAAGACCCTCAGACTTTCTAGGGATTGGAAGTAGAGGGGAATATCATCCTGGGTCAGAGAAAATTGGAGGCTGGAAAAGAAAAGCACCTGAGAGAAAAGGGGGGCTGGGAAAAGGAGGGAAAGAATAGTAAAAAGGAATAAGGACGTGAAAGATGAGAACAGGTCTGTGTTAGGGTGGGCAGCAAACAATGGTGCCAAAGTAATACCTCTGTGTGTCGGCACGTGCATGCAAAGAGTCACCCTCGCAGTCCTGACTGAAGAGAGCCTCCTTTGCGTGAGGATTCAGGACCAGGCTTTGGGAGCATGGAGGTTCTGCATTCTCTCCCTGTGTAATTCGCATGTCAGGCTGAGGTGCACACAGGGAGGCTGATAGCCTGGGAGGTGGGGGCAGAGATAGACCCTCAGACACACCACCCCCTCCACTGAAATCTACCTTCTATTCTTCCCCTTCTTTCCTCCAGAATTCAGGTCTAACATTTTTAACCAGCCTTAAAATCAAGTCTCCAATTGAGTGCCGCACCCAGACCACTTTCTACTACGACTACATGTGTACATCTTGATTTATCCTGTTTCTTTGGAAATCACGGGTAACATACAGGCTGCACGAGGGCAGCTGAACTGCTGTGTGCTGAGGAACTGGGAATGGCTTCCAGAGTGGGAGGTTGCACAGGGGATGTGCACCACATGAAGAGGAGAAAGGTCTTGATGTGTGTGTGTCCGGTGCACTAGAGGGGCAGAGGGGTGGCTGCATGAGGAGAACCTGCTTGGAAGCTTCTGCTGGAAGGCAGGAAGGTAATATGTTCAAGGGGTGAAATGAGGCAGCTGTCTAAGGAAGGAACATCTGTTTGTAAGACTAGGAAAGGTCTTCCTAGAAACCAGAGAATGAGCCAAGATTGGCACTGGGCAGTATCTAGGCCTTTCTTCAGGGGCTGACAGCAAAAGTGTGAGCAGGTAATGTTCCTCATGGGGGAGCACACACATACTGGAAAGCCACATGTTCTCCTGGGTTATCTCGTGGAAGACAATGGCGAAGTAGGTTGACAGCATCTTGGAGAGGACAAGGGGGATCGGAGTGGGACTGGGAGAGATGGAGAGCTGGGCGTTTCCCAGCTGAGTTTTATCCTGTGAGTTGCTCTGCCTTTGAATGAATGCTTGTATTCCCAATAGCTTATGGTGAGCTGCCAGACTTGGACAACTTGGACCCAGAAACAGAAGCTGCAGTTGAACGTGCTGAGTCAGAGCACATTGAGCTGGGTAGCAAGGCAGGGCCAGTACGTACCTGGTTTCCAGAGACATTCATCTGGACCCTGGTTCCCATCAAGTGAGTAATTATGGGCTACATCACATGGATACAGATCTGCCAGCCACAGCAGAGAGGGAATGGGCAGGAGCAGAGCCAGGATATTATTGCCTTCTGTGCTTGCAAAGAAAAGTGAGGTGTGAAGAAGTGGATAAGGACAATGGTTCAGTTCCTGGCTCTGCTTGAGATTTTTCAAATGATCTTGGGGTTAAAATCACAGACTCGTGTAAGATGTAAGAGGCCCCAAAAGGTCTGTAGCACAACATCCTGCACAAGGCACATCCAGTTAGATCAGGTGGTAGCCAAGTTCTCTGTATCTCAAAGGGTGGAGATTCCACAAACTATCTGGATACCTGTTCTGGTGTTTGACCATCTTCATGGTAACTTTTTTTTCTTATCTCAAGTCAGAATCTTCCATGTTCCAATATGTGTCTGTTACCTTTCATCCTATCAATATGCACCTCAGAAGAGACTGGTTCCATTGTCTCTAAACCTTCCCAACAGGCAGTTTTAGAAAGCTGAAAGATGTCTCCCTAGCCTTTCCCTCATAAGTTTGAAAACCTCAGTTCTTTCATCCATTCCTTGTACATCACAGGTCCCAGCCCTCTGACCATCTCGGTTGTCCTCTACTGGATGCATTGAAGTATGTCAGTTCCTTTTTTATACTGGAAGGCAAAAATGGGACACAGTACTCCAGATGTGGTCCCATTTGTGGTAGTGAAGAAATACAGGGGAAAAGTAACTTTTCTCAATCCAGTGGTTGCAATCTTAACACAGTTCAGAAGTATATGGCCTTCATTGCTGTAAGGGCTCATAAGATGTCTCATGCTCAACTTATTATCCACCAGGACCCTCACCACTTTTCTGCAAGGTTGTTTACTAGCCAGTCACTGCCTAGCCAGTACTGTTGCATGGTATTATTCCGTTCCAGATATAGAATTTATCCATTTTCAAGCCCATTTTTCCAGCTTGTCAAGGTTCCTCTTAATTACAGCCTTTTCCAGCAGCGTATCAGGAACCCCTCCACTGAGGGGTTAGTCTGCTAATACATAGAAAGATTAGTCTGCTAATCTTGCTGATGGGCAATGCTGACGATGACCTCTTTCCTGTTATCTAGGTCATTAATAAAGTCATTAAGCAGTATTGGCCCAAGTGTCAGTCCCTGAGGGATGTCACGGGTAAACAGCCACCAGTTGGACTTTGTGTCACCAATGACCACCCATTGTCCACAGTGGTCGAGCGAATTTGCTGCTCACCTTATCACCCACTTGGCCAGTCCACACTAATGTGGCTACAGGGATGCTAAGGGAGACTGTGTCAGAAGCTTTGCAAAAGTCAAGTTACACAGCATCCATATCTCAACTTTCTTAATTCTCCCACATGCCAATGTGCTCTATCTGTAAAATAGGATCTCTGCCTCTGCATCTCATTTGGCTGGATTATGGCCATTTCGGGGCAGGGACTGTCTTCTGGTTTGTGTATGCAGATCTGTAAGTGGCACCTATAATGGTTTCTGCTGCGCTGTGGTTGGGGGCTTGGGTGGTAGTGTAGTAGAAGTGTCACACGGTGCTCCCTGGCAGAGGCTGGGTGTATAACATGGACCCCTGGGAGGCCTCTGTGCCCACACTAAACAAGAATTTGAGATGCAACACTGCAATTTTGGGTTGCATTTGCCTCTCAGTCCTTTCTTGCCCACCTATTTGCTACCCTTCCCACACCTCTGCCCTGCTTCCTAGGAATCCCCACACCTTCACATGCACCTCCAGTTCATAGTCATAGTCCTTCTGCATTTGTCTTCCCAAGAGAAGTTTTACAGGGATGGGACAACCCCTTCTGCTCTGTTTTCTCCTCAGTGATTCAGGGGCTGCTGAGCTAGCTGTCACGGTACCTGACAGTATCACAGACTGGAGAGCCATGACCTTCTGCACCTCAGGGAGCCATGGGTTTGGAATCTCAGAAACCACCAGTCTGCGGAGCTTCAAGCCCTTCTTCGTGGAACCCACCTTGCCCTACTCTGTCTTTCGGGGAGAGTCATTTCCCCTGAAAGTCAAAGTCTTCAGCTACCTGAAGCAGTGTATGGTGGTGAGTGGATGGTTTTAGGGTCGGGGGATGTGTGGTAACAGTACTTCACTGATAGAGACAAAGGGCAGCCTCCTCAGGCATTCAGCAAAAACACCAAGGAAGCCCTTCACAAAACTCCATGCAGAGCCATCTCTGTCCAGCTTATCCCTTTCCATAAGCTCAACCCTACAGGACTGTGATGTCCATGGGCTGTTGGTGTCTCACAGATACTGCAACAGGGCAAATATCATACTCACCCTGGGCTACTGGGCTTGACTGACATTTGGATCAGGAGCTGAAAGGAAAACCTCTGTAACCTGAACTCCATTTTGCTTCACCTCTAGCTCCAGGTTAGCCTAAAGGAGTCCATGGATTTTGAATTTGTGCATGCAAATGTCAAGTTCACTATTTGTCTGTGTCCTGACTCAGCAAAAACATTTTCCTGGGATGTGAAGGCTACAAAATTAGGTAAGGGGACAAGGGAGTGGGAGGTACTGGCAGAGCTGCTTTTGGAAACCAGAGATGAGCTGCGAATGAGAGTGACCCTCATGTGGAGCATGAGTGAGCAGCCTCAGGCTGAGCAAACTGAATGTAGGCATGGATGTGCCAATTGGCCTTTTGATGCTTTGTTCTTCAGGGAAGGTGAATTTCACTGTCGCTGCTGAGGTGGTGGAGCAGGAAGATGTTTGCACTGAGAGTACAGGTGTTGTGCCAGAGTCTGGAGGGAAGGACACGGTGGTTAAACACCTCCTGGTGAAGGTCAGAGCATGCTTCAGGGTCCTGGCGAGTCAGGCTCAAAATGGCCCAGTGGGTGGCTCTGGGAAGGAAGAGTCAGCTCGGCAGGTAGTCACATTTCTCAAGGAGGCTGGTCAAGGAGCAATTCTAAGGGTAGTTTGGGTTGGGTCATGGGCTGAGCACCTCCACTCGATGGGACAGAGACATCAGAACTGCTTGCTAGCAGGGCAATGGGGGCAAAGGCCATGTAGCAGCTTAGAAACTGCTTCCCAATGAAACTTCACTGTCAGAATGCATATCCCTGCTACCTGTGTGAAGCCCTTTGCATGGAAAAGGGGCTTGCAAGAAGCTGGGGTGCTGCGCAGTTGCTGTCTCATTTTACTGCTCTCCCTTCTGACCTGACCAGCCTGTTCCCCACTAGGCAGAGGGGCTGCTGGAGGAAAAGACCCACACCTCACTCCTGTGCCCTAAAGGTAGGTGCAGGTACCCCAGAGATCCGGACAGCCTTACCACTGGGGCTTTACATGTGTACAGAGCAAGGAGACTGATCAGAAACACTGTGGTGTCTGAACAACTCTAGAACTATCTGGAGGTGCATGGGGAGGGGAAAGTATATAAGGAGGCAAAGCCATTCAGCTCTAGCCAGTACTACAAGCTTCTTACAGCACCAAGCCACTGCCTAACCACATCAGTCATCTGTCACTGGGTGACCTGATGTCTGTGTCATCCTCTCTTTTGAATTTTACCAACTGACTAGGTGATCCCAGCCTTGTTTCCACCATCTCCTGGGGATACCTATGGGTCTGCCACCTCCTTACTGCCTGTTGTTGTTCCGATACTTTTGCCATTTGCAGGAACTTCAGCTTCAGAGACAATCACTTTCACTATGCCCGAGAACATGGTCCTTGGGTCAGAGAGAGCCCACATCACTTTCTTAGGTGAGATTTAGGGGGGTCTTGGAAAGTAAGATTTTTCCCTTCAGGAGTCTTGTCTTCTGGTGCCACCATGTCTGCTTTAGCAAACAGAGTAACAAGAGGGACTGCGTACAGTGAGGTGTGATACTGGGCCCCTGTGTCTTCCAGAGAAGTATCCCATCTCTCTCATACTAATGACACTGGACCAGATAGTTATATATATGTAACATAAATTATATTATAACATCTAGATGTTAACATCTGTAACATATAATATATAGGTTATATTATAACATAGAATATCACCCAGCCAAGGGAAAGACATCCTATCACTGTTCCTACAGGGCTCTTTTGGCATTAAAGTCACCTTAGTGTGAGCAGAGGTGAACTGAGACCAGTCTTAGCAGGTTATCTGGAGAATCAGTGAGACCAGAAAATTTTTACATGCAAGAATATGTAAAGCTTTCAAAGCTGTGGTTCTGTCCTACAGGTGACATTCTGGGGACAGCACTGGACAATGTAGATGAGCTCCTCCAGATGTCCAGTGGCTGCGGTGAGCAGAATATGGTTCATTTTGCCCCCAATGTCTTTATCACACGATACCTTGAAGAAACAGGACAACTGACTCCAGAAATCAAACAGAAGGCAATTGGCTATTTGGAAAGTGGTGAGTGGATTTCTGCTCATGTTGTGTAAGTAAGCTGGTGATATCTACTATAGTACATTGTGCAGGGGCATCTCAACAGAGGCTTGGTGCTGAACAGGATTTGTGCAAACCTGTCACTTGTCTGACACCATGGAAAATACAGCAGTGTAAATCAGGCCACTGTGTCTCAGCTGAATAAGGGGTACACAGCACTCATAGAATCATAGAATTGTTAGGGTTGGAAAGGACCTTAACATCATCTAGTTCCAACCCCCTGCCATGGGCAGGGACACCTCACACTAGATCATGATGCCCAAGGCTCTGTCCAACCTGGCCTTGAACACTGCCAGGGATGGAGCATTTACCACCTCTTTGGGCAGCCTGTTCCAGTGCCTCACCAGCCTCACAGTAAAGAACTTCTTCCTTACATCTAACCTGAACTTCCCCTG